GATAGTGCGTGGCATGTTCTGTTCCAACCGACTTCCATTATTTTATGGTGTTCATTTGGGGCGGAGCAGTCGTGTTAACCGTGACATCCCGGCGAACCCTTTGAATAAAAAAAGTATTTCATCTTATTTTCGTGGTTCAGTGTTTCATCATGTAGCCGGTCGTTTCCTTTGACGGGTAATTCGCAGCGTCAGCTACGATGTGGCTGGTCACACACTGCGGTCCATCCCGGACAGTGACGTAGCTGGTGGGATATGTTGGGTTGTCGGGATTCTTACGTAGCTCAGTTAATCTGTAGGCATGGACTCAGTCTCATTTGGTGTCACAGCCAGTTCGTAACAGACCGATTAATCACTTTATTAAATTCAACACACCTCTCAAAAATCACTGCCACCTCCGTAAGCACGTCCGCCCCTCTTAAGCTCCCAAAAAGTGTCTCTCCTCACTTCAACATTGCTACAAAAAAAAATCTTAACCGTAAACACGCTTACGGTTGGGTGATTAAATTTCAAACTTTGCCCAAAAGTGAATGTAACATTAACTCCCATTGGTGTAGGTCCAGGTTCAGACCTAAGGACCTCACTTTTCACACCGAGGTTTAGAACGTCGCTCCCACACTCTTATTCTAGAAGGCATTGATTCCAAGGGACAAAGCCACTTAGGCTAAGAGCAGGTAATTTAGGTACAAAAGAATTCAAAGGCTCGTAAATCCCTGACAAGCTAAAGAGTAACAAGGGTACAACTTAGCTTACAATATACCAGGATATAAATTAAATACAAATGAATCACATAAACTAACTAAAGGATTGATGAGCGGTTACAATCATACACAATTTATCGTTCGTCACCTAGTACCAGCCAGACAGGTGTTGTTAGCCAGCCTGTTGAGGCTTACGAACAACCAAAGCAAGACACAAGTAGTCAAATGGGGTCCAGTCAGGCGAATGCGGTAAACATTCTGACACTTATATTTAGTTTAGGGTCAAATAACTGCTCAGTTAGGAGTGCTGAATGAGAAGGCGCAATTTCATTACACAAAATCAACTTGTCATGCCAAAGATTTTATTATTTTTGACAAATGCGCTGCATGACTTCGGCTGTTTTCTTGGCCGCGGGGCCTCTGGTCCTCCCCGGTGGTGAATTTAATTTTTATTTATAGATAAAACTCAAAATCTAAAGTCCCAGAAAATTTTAAATGTTTTCCCTCAAAAGGCTGGATTCTTTCACCAATCTTCTTGTAATATCTGAGTATATTTTTTTCTCCTCACCTCTTAACAAGCAAACCAAATACTGCGCCAATAAAGTATTTACTGCAAACAAAAAACTGAATCCCAACTTGTGTTTAAAGGAAACTACTAAATCGTTTAGTCATGAAGTACGACATGTGGGAACTCAATTACTGTACAAAATGTTACTCCGGTTATTTGTCAGACCTCATAGTTTTGTAACAGAGTGACTTGACCTGGAAGGGAATCTCTCTGATCGCAATCCTCTTCTGGTCATCGAATGACTCACTTTGTATCTATCTACCCTTACTGTGGACGTTTGTAAACTGGTGTTTACGGATGATTGCTCCACAGCAGACTGACGTACACTCTCCAGCAATAAGTAAATTTAATGAATTTTCTGTGGCTTGCTTAAGGAATACTTTGGAATAATAGGGTGTTCATAAAAAACCTTTACAACTTCAAGACTTGATACAAAATTAATGAGTCAAGATAACTCGATGGGGTTTATTGCTTGTTAAACAGCGTCTCTCAAAGTTTTATGCACATAAGTCAGTACACCTCTACATGTGCACTCTTAGTTAAACGTAGAAAATCAATCCGATACTCGGTTTCCCTCCATGTTCGTTGAAGAATCTCTGCAGTAATGGTTCCAATGGCTTCCACAATCCTTAGCTTCATTTCATCGATGTTGGGAACCTGTGTTCGGTACACAAGATCCCTAACATAACCCCCCTAAAAAAATCCACCGGGGTTATGTCGGGCGAACGAGGTGGCCACGGTATTGGACCATCTCTCCCAATCCACCTATCAGGAAACTGTTCGTTAAGGTAACCACGAACCGCCAACCCCCAGTGGGGTGGTGTTCCATCCTGCTGGAAGATGACATGTTGTTGAATGTCCTCCATTTGTGGGACAGCAAATTACGTCTGCATGTCGAGATACACATTAGCTGTGATTGTTTTTTCGGCGAAGAAGAATGGCCCAATTATTCGGTCACACTTGAGTCCGCACCATACGTTAACTTTCGGGCTATCGCGCACAAGTTCTCTGGCCGCATGGAGGTTCCCCATATCCCCATATCCTTACGTTGTGCCTGTTAAGTAACCCCGACACATGGAACGTTGCCTCGTCACTAAAGAGAACACGCTCAAGGAAGCCTTCCTCAGCGTCAATTCGAGCCAGAATTTCGACAGCAAATGCTGTGCGGCGTGGCCCGTCATCTGGCTCAATAGCTTGCACCACCTGCACTTTGAATGCGTACAGACTCAGATTCTTGTGCAGCATTTTGTGGACGGTCGAACGTGGCAACTCCAATTGTCTGGCGGCGGTGCGAATGAACTTTCCAGGGCTACGGACAAATGCACCACGCACACGTTCCATGTCCGCTACGCTTGTGCTTGGTCGGCCACTGCCTTTTTGCTGCAGAACACTGCCAGTCTCCATAAATTTCCTGTGCCACTCACGAATTGTGGGTCTTAATGGCGGTTCCCTTCCATATTTGGTCCTGAACTTGCGCTGCACCTGCGTATCTGATCTTGTCTCGATGAACCAGGATATACATTGTGCCTTCTCCTGTGGAGTAGCAATTTCCTGTAATGTTAGATGTCAGTCGACGTGCACACTTGCAATTAACAAACGTTATGTTATTAATACTAAACAAAATTCCCTTAAAAACTTTGAGAGATGTTGTTTAACATACAAAAAATATCATCCAGTTATCTTGTCTCATTATTTTTTTATTTAGTGTTGAAGTTGTAAAGGTTTTTTATGGACACCCAGTATCTTACAACAAACTACAGATTTTATCCATCCGACAGTTGTGATTATATTATTATGTGTGACCATTGGAGATCATGAAACGATCTTAAATAAGTCAAAAATAAATAAAAAAGTAGTAAAAAGACCAGTGTAATAAAGAAGACAGAGGACACGGGTTAGAATGAATGAAACCCGGTGGACTGTCGACGGCAGATACAGTATTTATACGGGTGTCCCGTAAGTTAGCGGACACCCGTATGAGTCAATGTCCTGATGACGGAGGCAGCAAGGATCTCTGAAACGTCGGTAAACTTCTACCAGACTACACGGCGCAACAACCCAGAAGACAGCCATCTTCAGACTCACCGCAATGAAAACCTCAAATTCTAACGTTTCCTTCATTATGTTTTCCGTATTTCGCCGAATAACAGAGTTCTCCTATGATCCAGGACTTACAGGACATTTTGTATATAAACATACCTCGATTTAAAGATCTTGAGATCGAGTGTTTTTGATTTCACTCGGAGGAATACTCCATATTTCTGTGGCACGTATTCACGTAAATAGAACATATTAGAGAACATTAAAAGTCCAAGAAAAATGTACAATCTGCTCAAGTAAGTTAGTTACATTCAACTTCCTCGAAGTCCTAAACTAAATTTGTAGATAAAAAACAGGACAAGGTCCCGCTGAACACGACACTCTCTGTATCTGAAATAAAACACCTTAAACCATCATCCTTTCTTATCTTAAGCCAAATTAATACATTTCAGAAGCAATGTTGGTCCGTAGCAGTATTATAGTCAATTGCCATTTACAATGTACGTAAATAAATGATAAATTGTATATTTATATCTTAAATACAATTATCGTGTCGTTACAATTTTATTTTATGCCCCTGAAAATCGGAATAATCAAATTTATCATATATTAACTTAAGTTTAATGACGAAACCCTAATTTTTAACAGAGCCTTCGAAAAACTAAATTCATTTCATTAGTTCTTGTGTTCCAATAATGAAATACCTGATAAATTGGAATATACACGAAGACGAGTACACGGATCAATGGCTATCATGCAGTAACGTATGTATAAATTCGAGGATTGTAACTCACATAACATGAACAAAGGACCAGTTTCCCGGCCAAGGTATTTGTGTATGGTAGTGTTCTTCTTATCGTGTTGTGTTGTGCTGTGTGTAGGAAAAGACTTTACAAGGGCCGATACACCATTCAAAATTTCTTCAGCGAATAAATTCTGAATCGAAACAAGCTATAATCCGTGACAATGGAAAAATAAAATGAAGAAAAGTAGTAATCAGTTCATCATCAAGAGATCTGTCTTTACCTATGTTTTGTCATAAAAATATTATATATTCCACATATTTTTGTCCACTAATAAATACGGCTTAAATTTCCCCACTGTAAAATTATACAACATTAATATTACAATACTTTTATTTTCCGTCGTTTCACAAGCTTATTGTTAAAATCACATAAAATTTCACATAAAATTGTTACATTTTTAAAATTGACGACATGTTTCGATATACAATTCTATCATCGTCAGGTCTATCAAAATTAAAATTAAAATCTGGTGTATCTGTTGCTCTGCTTATATTGATTTTGTTTTTACCCGTTTTTGACGGAAAATAAAATAAAACTATTGTATTGAGGAACACAAGCAGGATGCAATTAAGATATAAGCTGTACAATTGTCAAATAAATTGCATATATCAATTGTTAAATTTAAAACGTAAGGTATTGAAGTGCAATGCTAATATTAGGTTTAACAAATTATGTTTAAAGGAGAGAATAACACCGAAATATGTAAAAATAAAAATACAAGGAAATAATCCTAATATACAAATAATTCAACGAAAGGCAGAAACATTATATATAAAAGCAATTAATATTATTTTATTCATTCGACTGGCCGAATAACCGATTCACTGGATTCAAGCCAACTTTTCTGCACAAGTTATTTTAAAATATCTAAATAATAAAGAAACTCACCAAACGTCGAAACTGAGATGTCATGGTTTCGATTCCCGATTCTGACGCCGGTTCTGATGACTGGTTTCTACCAGCTTCTGTAAGCAAATAAAACCCGAAAGATCACTACGATGTTCACATGAGTCGCCTCTGGGCCACATGCTAAGCCACTTGAATCCAGAAGACACGTTTTAATATTATTCTCCATATATATATACACAATAAAAACAAAGCTGTCCAACTGTACGCCATGTAGGCGCTCGGGGGAGAATACTGCTCCAAAGAGGAAGACAAATGAAGCGCACAAGACGCATACTAGGAAATAACAGGAATATTTCTACATGTACTGTTTTTCTGTGGTACATCAGTCATATTCTGTACACGAAATCGCTGAATTGACTTCAGTTTCAACAGGAGGATTCACTCAAAACAAAAAAAATATGGAGAGACCTTACAATGTACTCTTACTTGAAGGTTTTGAGCATTCATGACTTACATTCGATTTGAATACATCAAAATCGGACCTACTCTCATTTTCGGCAGAATACGAGAACAATAAAAACATTTCCTGTCACAATTTAAATTGGTGTCACAAACTGTTTACCTACATCTATAACCCTAGGTTTAAAACGCGCGGAGCTGTGATGTTTAATTAAGCAGCAAGAACAACTTTTCCCTAAATTTAGGTTTTCTCCATTAGAACATGATGTTAGTGACATGCAAGAATCGTCCAGTGCTTGATTAATGCAGTACATCGACTTTTGTGTGTCAGTTAAAAGACAAGCGTGCCTGTTATTTTTTTTACGAAGTTTATTAAAATTCACGTAAAAGACTAATAGATTAGTAGAAAGCTATAAGTACTAATAAGAATTTATTAAAAATGTGCGCAATAAGCAATCAATTTATTTCACGAAGTTTATTTTAAAAAAACTGTGACGCAGATTGCTGAATTTAGTCAGTATCCCACTATTCTAACTTTAAAATAATTCTGTTACGCGCACTGAAGATATACAAAGTTCGTTCGTTGTTTTCTTCTGCGACAGTAACTTAAAAAACGCCCTCCGAGCCCATTTCGGTGGCAAATTCTAAGTATAAGACGACATAAAAAGATAAACTTACATTTACTTAGATATTCATTCCTTTATAACACGCAAGTTTCGCAAATCCTCATCTACATAAACCATTTTCTTTCCCGTGAGAAGTTTTCTTTAAAGATGTTTATATTTAAGTTTCTTGTGTTTGTTACGCTGTACGGTCTTCTCTCTTATCTTTACCATACCCCTCATTATACTTGCAAAAGCAGACATCTTCGCAAATAATAATTCGTACGTTTCATGAAACGAAAATAAATTTCATACAATACTTACGTTGTACAGCGATTTCTTCTTCATTTAAGGAATCGATATCATTTCACAGCTTCTGATTTAAGTAAACGACGTTCATACGGTATTTTCGCCCTAGTCGAAGGAAACATAACTCCACAAAAAATTCCTTCTTGAAGAGCTAATTGTATACTCAGCTAGACATTTTCCGGCTCTAATGGCTCCATAAGGTTCAATACCTTGTCTAAGTCTAGTTCTTTGTCAACGTAACCGCTGATATGATTCCATTATGTACGAAAAAGCCCATTCCTAACCAATCAGGAAACAAGTACCACAATCATAATATAAAGATAAAGCTAATAAATTCTTCTGAAACAAATTATTTTCTCCCGCATAGTGCACTGCTGTCTTCGAAATTAAATTTCCTCAGACAATACTTTCTTAAGGCTATTCATGATTGAAACCGGGCAAAAGAATGTTACGTAATTAAGAAGCTGTTCTAGGCTACACACACAATAAGATCAGCACCGTATGTAACATCATGTCTGTATCTAAGCATCTCATTACCAGTAAACAGAGTTATACTAAACTAAATAATAATCTAACACAAAATGCAGTCATTCTTGAAAAGCTGATAGCCGTTCAGCTGCACAATAAATTCCCTGTCTTTATGGGACCAGGAAGGCTCTGTATCGTGTTCATAATAGGGCATTACTGGCCTCACACCCTCATTCCCTACGTCTTTAAAACCAATTTTCATTATCATCCATATTCATCTAGGAATACCAAGTGATCTATTCTCTTCGGTTCTTACAGCTACATTTTGTATGCATTTATTTTCTATCCCACGTGCGCTGTATGCCCTGCCCATCTCATCCTCCGTGATATAGCCTGTATAAAAGTACTTGATGCAGAGTATTATATATTACGAAGCTCCTCATTCATTATTCTGTCACATATTCTCGATTCTGGGCATTGGAATAATTTGAGTGATGAGCTTCAATTTGCTTTTTATAATGACCAGAAAACGTTCATAAAATATCTACTTTGAAAGAAACGGTGTGTACTTTGAAAATATTCTGGGTGTGTTGTGATAATATAAATTAAAATGCCATGTCGGGAATCAAACTCGTTATATCCAATATTATAGATGGACAATAATACAGGCTATAATTAAGAAATAGTTACACTTTTAGCATCCACAATTTAATTGTTATCACTGCAACAAAACATCAAAATGTTTTCATGGTCTAGGAGCGTACAATTCTGGTCGACTAACAAGATTTGCGAGTTCGAATTCAGGTCGAAATATGCCTTTTGGAGGGGGGCGGGATTCTTTAAGCTAAACGTTCCACCAACTGCCTTCAAGAATTCATTATTTCAGAACTAATTCTGAAGAACGATAATATTAATGATTATACGTTACTTTCAGGAGCCTCTACTTCTTTCTACCGAATCAGGGGTTATGTCTGCCTTTCTTTTCCTTGAAACCTCTTGGTATCATAAAGAAAGGTAACAGAAGCATTACTATTGTCACAAGTTCTAATAAGGAATGAAAAGTTTCTTCTTTCTACAACAATAGTGTGACAGCTGGGTCGAATCTACAGAATTAATTATATTAGAGTAATACAAATCGTTAACAAAGGTTTTCATTTCTCAATGCAATAAAGAAACTACAATAACATGGATAAATAGCAAAATATATATTTCCCATAGCCTTAACTGTAATAGCAATCAACAAGCGATCAATAGTGACACTGTAAGCGATTATTGTATTTGTATTTGGCTGTCAGAAAGTAATGTTACCATGGCGAGAAAGGACTTGTTGATACGCCCTGGTGAGTAGGAGTGTTTACCCCACCCCCTCACCGGCCCGCAAATCTGCCTGCAGAACGTAGCGACGCGTCTGCGTCCTGACGCACCACGTGCTTGGTACTGACGCGCCGCTGCCATATAAAACAAGTGAGAGTGCTACTGGCTGCTAGCAGTTCGTCGCTTCCCGCGACATCTTCCATCTATCTCTAACTTTTTATTCTTCCTTTCAAGAACAACGTCTATACCAACACGGCGACAGCGTACGGACACCCGCAGCAGAAGGTTAGCCTGGCAAATAATTAATATGCAGTAAAAGAGTTGCAAACAATGTTTAAAGTTGCGAAAAGAAATTTATAATTTTAATTTTCTGTTAATTCATCTCTTCATCACGTAAAAGGCGTTCAGGATTACGATTTAGAACACAAATCTATATAAATTTATGTTCATGTAATTTAATTTTTTTTAATTGTAATTTAATTTAATAATTTTAATTTTTAACTAAAGTAACACAAGCATACGAAGCAGAACACAACACAGTTCTCTCAGAAAATGTTCTAAACTTGAACTAAAATTGTTTAAATATGAACACTATAAGTGGTACATAGTCTTTGTCAATGATTCATATTGTTTCTCACGACTATGATACAATTTCCCATATTGAGGTTCTATGTCGAATTTAGTCCGACATTTTTGAATATCTAAATAATTAAACTGAGTCTAGAGTGGTGCCGTAAGCTGAGAACAATTCTTAAAATATGCGATTTAGGAACATCGATTCTCTGTCAGTTAGGTTCAACGCTATTGCAGAGAGTTTTACGAAACAATAAACATAATAAATTATAAGCTAATTCATAATTTATTTATTTAACTTGGTTATACACACACCAGACATGTTGACCGTATGCCAGATTTTGGTCACAGCATGTGATACATACAATACACTTACATACATTTTCCGCCTTTAATATTGCCCACGGGTTCTCATTATATTGTATATATTATTTAATAATTTAAATCAAATGACTGCGGATACATTACTGAACTCTGAATGTAGTTTGACAGTAACGTACCCGTAATACGTAGCAATAATATTGTTTTGTAAAAACAAATAATTGCATATTGTATTATATGGTGCATTTACAATGCACATAGTCATCTAAGCACATACTTTTACTGTTTAATAAGGACAAGAATTTTGAATACTGGCCCCCATATTTTCTCATTATTAATGTAGTTTAATGTAGAATTGTTATGGTTTTAAACAATACATATAATAATATTTAACAGAGAAATGCATGTTTAACATACTGATATTGAAATTAACATATTAAGTGCTACCATGAGAATATTGTATCCTACGATATTAACAGTTTTAACATTTCTGTGTTGCCTCAGATCTTAATTTCAGTACCAGTATTGTGCATGGCACTTGTGTTGCAGCAAATTCCAGGCATAAATTATACTGGTTACATAATGTGGCGAGCGTAATTTTGCACTACATTTGCTATTAGATATGCCTTGTGGCATAACTGAAACTACGTAAAGGCGATTAGGTATACATGACTTATCATAGAAAATTAAATCTGTTGCAACCCTGACTACACGCATAGCAGGATCCAAAACAATCCTGTTTAAACGGCTACTCCTGGCTCACATTAGTTAATATGATAGTCACGTCAGTGTCTAATGCGTATTTAGTCCCATGCCATTAACAGGCATATCGTTTTCGAACAACAGTACGATATTGTCTCCGGCCTATTGTACTCAATGTTGATACTCGCATATTGTTACTGCCACATTTCTGCGATACAGGTTTAAGCGAAGTCATCTTATAATCAAACTTTGTTTTCATAAACTCCACACGAGGGAGTTCCATAAAACCTCGTGTCTATTTAACCCCACTGTCAGCATCTTAAAGTATATAGCATCGAATGATGGACAATTAATCGGAATGTATAAGTAAGTAAATGGTCGTGGCTCAAGGTACGATCACGTGATCTGGCTTCAGGAAAACCATGAAATACATAGGTCAGGATAGCCGGTCTCTGGGTCAAGATTTGAACCCGTAGTAGAAAACTCGGATGCGAAGTTCGATTTTCATGAAAGTTGTTTTAATTTAAGTATTTATTTAAGGCGGCAATACAGAACAGTAAATGTCTTGTAAATGAGTGCCACTTTGTTTCCGGTTATTATTAAACAGCGCATATTGAACGCGATAGATACTATCGCTTTAAATTTGCTGTGTTCATACGTACGTAGATGTAACTTGACACAAAATATCACACGTCTAACTTAACAGCGATTCATTTGGCGCTGTGTTGCGCCCATCCAACAAGTTATTACGTCCGCCAAATTCGTTGCGTTATTGCTACATAACCTCTCAGAATTTAACGTTTTTTGAACACTATCTGTAATAACTTAAGTTCATGCGTCTTTGTTAATTTTATATATTATTTTTCCCGTCTTCATTCACTAAACTTTATGATTTAAGAAATGAAACTGAAACAGGCAATAACATTTCCGTTAGCGCTGAGAAAAATATTCACGCTGTTATAAATTCAGTTTCGTAGATGACGTGACATTCAATTCTGTCAATATTTTAAGAGCAATGACGTTGCTCGGAATATAAACACACGATTCTCTGCAATTCAATATCTGTATTTTCTTTTACAAATAAATCTTCTGAATATATTTTTCCACCGGGTTTGCTGCTTTGTACTCAAGGGAAAGACTTTCAATGCGAACGCTGTTCCTTCGACGCTCAGCAAAATGTATTTAATTTAATTGCTCATTCCATATTTGAATAAAAAATACGTCCCGGGATTTTATAATCACATTTAACCAATGGTCATTACTAACAATAAAGCCTCCACTCTCTGCTAATTATCTGTTGTGTGAAAAAAGTGACTGAACTTGTAAAAATAAATGTGTGAGATTTACGAAATAAATCATCGATTGATGTCTTATCTCTCATCACTATTGTATTATCACTTATCATTTCAATTGTCACAATTCTGACATTACATAAGGACTCATTTTTATAACGGCACTTCCAGTATAAAAATGGCTTGATATGTCAAATGTTTCCGATTTTATGACACATGTTAGACCTACAGTAAGTTTGCTCTTTTCACCTCCATCATTTTCAAAATTGTTATTATTATGATACGTAAAAAACAGACGCAGTTTATTTCTCATATTCAGAAATCACGTACACACAACCGTTACACTAACAAGACTCTGAGTACCCGAGTTACAGAAATGCGTCTATTAAAATGCATCAAATAAATACATAAATGCCTAATCTATTTATTTCTCTGACCTGCAAAAATCATCGAGTAACAGCAGAAATACAATGGCGTAAAATAACTTCAACAGTATGGCTCAAGAAGCTGGTAGTAGCTCAGATTTTCAAGAAAGTTTCCACGTTTTATGAAACACCCCAGCTTATGCATTACTTTGGCCTAAAACAGATAATTTCAGTCCACAGCTTCACACGTTACTTCTTTAAGATTCATTTTAACGCTGTCCTCCCATTTACGTCTAGGTCTCCAAAGAAGTATATTATAGTCAGATTTTGAAAGTTTAAAAAATATTAAGCGATTGAACGAACCAATCGGGTAAGTTTGTGATCAGTAACAGAAATGACAATAATTATAAGAAGAACAACGATGATGATGATAGTAACTAGGTGCTGTATACAACTACACTACTTGCAGAAGAGCAGGAAACCAATGAGATTTACATTAAAGAAGACAAATACGGCTCCAGAACAATTGGGGTAAAAGAGATCCATTGTCTACTTACAATGACACATGGTTCAATTCCTGATGCATTTAGAGCGTTAAAACTCAATAAAACTTCAGTCTTAGTTTCGGCTTATTATTTATTGTAACCTTATTCAGAATATAAAACGTGTTTCTGAACAGTGTGCTGAGGAATATATTTGGAAATAAAAATAGAAGTCACAGAAAAATGAACAGAAACACAAAGAAGCATAAGGATAATCCGTACTTTTACCCAGCATTGGTCTATCAGGATGAACAAATTACACAGCATGCTGCGAGTGAAACATATAGCGCACATGAGGATGCAAAAAAAGGAAATATGGGACAGAGATGCAGGTGGGAGGGCATTACAAAATATGGCGAACAGGGTCTCATGAAAAACGGTAAAGTTCTTAGGCCACGCGGTCACTGTAATATAAAAGTCACAAAGTTTGTTATTATTGAAACAAATGGCATTGTATATCAATTTAATGTGTACAATTAAAATAATGGAAATTTTTAAATAACGCAGATGGCATAGTATTTAGTTTACTAAGGATGAATGACAAAAATACTGGAACCTTACTTTTTCATAACGCTAAAAGTGCCGCTCGTTTTTCTCCGTCTTCATTCAGTGTCGTGGTGTTTTCAAGTCGTGTAATAAAACACAATCCCAACACAGTGCTCTTATTACCAACTCTGACAGTACCGACGACAAGAATAATCAGGATTTTAATTATATGAGAAGAAATTTAATACTTTCTGTTTTATCTCCCTTTTATTTTTTAACTTTTCACATTTTATGGGGCAAATGAATAAAAATACACATTCTTGTTCTTTTTAACTTTCATGCCCGGTTTAAGATTTAGATACTATAGTTATCTCGCACATATTTCTGAATATCCTGTATTTATCATTATAAATTTAAGGATGTATCCTATTATTCAGACGGAAACATGTTCAATAAAAATATATATTAGCCTCAAACATTTTTCGATCTACGCATTTATAAGACGAACAGTGAAGAAAAGAACAAAGAAACTGCACCTGATTGAAATCGATGACACTTTTCGGAGTTTTATATTTCTACACTTTACCTGACGGTCCTTCATATGTGTACTGAGTTTCACAATTCCATATCAAAGTCACTGAAAATGACGAATGGACACTTGCCAAGTATTACATATAAGATTATATTATTATTAGTGTGGTAAATTTGGAGTGTCCAGAAACGTTCTTTGGACTCGAATACGAACACTATATTGTGGACATCGTTTTACACTTAAAATAAACACTGCATTTAAGCTAGATGTATTTTAACGTACCCACTTTTCGGCAGATGTTCTTCTGATTAAGTACATTAATATGAATAACATTTTTGCATGTTACTCTTAACAAATATTTATATCAATAAATATTGTAACTGGTTACAAACTACATGACCGTGGTTTAATTCCTGGCACCTTAGTGTCCAGACCGGTTCTAGGACTCATGCAGCCTACAATCCAACTTTGT